GGCACGTGGATGCCACTGCATTCCACAGTTCCCGTGTGGCGCACAGCAAAACTCTGCTCTAAAAAAAAAAAAAAAGAAAAGAAAAGAAAAAGAAAAAGGAAAAAAAAGTAAAAAAGTCCAATACAGAAATAAAATTCCTTAAATGTAACTATCCAGTTTAAATTGAAAACTGTAGAGTATATCTCATCTTTCAAGCCAGAGTCATACTACTGACACATTCCTCTCAGAGGACACAGTGTAATAATACAATCTGTGGCTTAGAATCTCAAAGTTCTACATTCAAATCTCAACTCAGCACTTACTATCTAAAGTACCTTAGATCAGTTACTTAATTTCTCTCAGCTAAAGCTTCTTTCTCATCTGTTTAAAAAAGAGGGGAGAGGCGGTGATATAGTGTAAAGCTCAAGTAGAATCATGAATGTGGAAGTTCCCCATAAACACTAAACAAGACATCAAGCACATCCTCACTTTTCAGAACAAAATAAAGTTATAGGTATATGAAATCTTTCCTACCCCTAGTGGATGATGTCTTTACCTCTAAAGGGGTATTGGGGTCCTTCCAGAGGTTGCAAAGGTTGGGCTTCCCTCACTGAATAAATACCTAAAGAGCACACTGTCTTCAGACAGTGTGAATTCTAGTACATTTATCAACAGATTTACTCAAATTTTGTGAACACTAATTATTTCAGATCTGGTTTCAAGGATCTATTCCCTCCCCACCTTCAGATTATTTTCCTGCAACACAGGATCTTTACAAGTTTCTTTTAAGGACTCAGGGTTTGTTTTTTTTTGTTTGTTTGTTTTGGTTTTTTGTTTTTAAGTGCTTTTCTTCCCTATCTGGGGAAACCTAACCAAAAGGAAATTAGGTAAAAATAATGCATAAAATATGCATTACTTTTTAAATAGGAAAAAATATAACATTACAAAACTAAAATGTAAGGTCTTCAGATTGGTAATGAAAAAAATTTTTCATGTTCTACTAAAAGGGATTAAGAAAAAATAAGCAATAAATGCCCTAAATTATTTAAAAATTTGCCTTAGCTGGGCACAGCAGTTCACAGGCATAATCCCAGTGACTCAGGAGGCTGAGATGGGAGGAAACTTGAAGCCAGCAGTTTGAGACAAGCCTGGGCAACATAGCAAGACCATATAACTAAAAAATACTTTTTTAATTAAAATTTTAAAATTAGCCAGGCAAGGCTGGGCATGGTGGCTCACACCTGTAATACCAGCACTTCGGGAGGCCAAGGCGAGCAGATCATGAGGTCAGGAGATCGAGGCCATCCTGGCTAACACAGTGAAACCCCATCTTTGCTAAAAATACAAAAACAAAATTAGCCGGGCATGGTGGCGGGCACCTGTAGTACCAGCTACTCGGGAGACTGAGGCAGGAGAATGGCATGAACCCGGGAGGCGGAGCTTGCAGTGAGCCAAGATCATGCCACTGTACTCCAACCTGGACGACAAAGCAAGACTCCATCTCAAAAAAAGGAAAAAAAAATATTAGCCAGGCAAGGTGGTAAACACCTGTAGTCCCAGCTACTTGGGAGGCTGCAGTGGGAAGACTGCTTGAGCCCAGGAGTTCAAGGCTGCAGAGAGCTATGATCATGCCACTGCCCTCTAGCCTGGATGACAACAGCAGAATCCCATCTCTCAAACAAAAAAAAACAAAAAAAAACCAAAAAAATTGCCCATGACAGCAGCAGAATAAACAAGATGACCTGAAGCAGTTTCCACTTCTAAGACGTCAAACTAATACATACATACTCAAACCTTTACTGCTTCTCTATTCAAGGAATTTAATTACAAACATTCTTGTTTTAAAAATTGTTTGGTGTTTGTTGCTCCTGCTGTTGCTCCTGTTAGAGGGTAAGAAAAGTATTTTCTTGGTTTTTGTAGTCTACATTTGGTACTTTGGGTACACTCAGTATAGGGAAAGACAGGTGTTTCACAAAAATAGCTGGATTTTTCTCACCTAATACACTTTAGAGCAGGAAGCTTCTTGGAAAGGTAGAATAAAGAATGGAAGGATGCAGGACTTTCCAAGCATTCATGGTAACAGAAAGGAAAGCAGAGATTCTCTAAGAGGGAAAGAGACATAAGAAGTCAAAACACGGGCGAATGGGTACGGTAAAGAACAGTACCTTACAGTACCAGAGAAAGAAAGCAAGACAGTCAAGTATATCACAAAATACTGCCCACTGCCAAAAAGAAAATTAAGGAAAATATACAATCGTTGAAAGACAAAAAAAAAAGTATTAACAATCTTTGGGATTCAGTTTCTTCATCTGTGATAGTCTTAAGACTACTCTGGGAATCGACATGGGGTTACCTAAGTGAGAGTCCCGGGCACATTGACAGGCCGATCACTGACCCTCCGAAAAGGATAATGTCCTCCTCACTGCCTAAAGTCACTCACAGAATATTATAATGGAAAGGGGAGCTCAGTAATCACCTCACCCTAAATGAATAAACCAAACAATTCAGTCGTGTTATAACCTGTACAGAATTCCTATATTATAAAAAATTTAATAAGATATTACTATAGGATCTCAAAGCCTTACCAATGTCAAATACAAATGAACGGCTGCAGTGGAAAAAACCCTTTGTACTGCTGCAACAGGAGACTCCTTCCCTCACTAACATCAGGGCAAAAGGAGGCCCTCGAGGCCTTCCTCCACAAATTTCTCCAAACTGGTAGGAAGTTAAGTATAAGGGGTTTCCCTCTCTGCTATATGGTTATAGGTTGACAAACAGAAACAGAAATCTGTGCTCCAACTTAGTCATAAAAAAGCTGAAACTCAAACATTTTCTCACAGGAAAATGATAATGGTTAAATTTGCAAGCTAGCCCTCATAGCAATTAAATGATGCGGCAAAAATGCCATTTTAATTGACTATTTTTCTCATAAGTATAGTGAATAAGCTACTTCATAAAGCGGATTTTATGAAAAGGTCTAGAAGTGTAGCCCTAACATCCTTATGGAAAAAAAAAAAAAATTGTGTCCTGAGTTTTAAACAATTTACACAAAAACTTTTAGATCATAACTAAGGAGGGGACAGTAGAAGACTGTGAGATAAACAGGGAGAGAGTTGCTTGGTTTGGTAGAAAAGGCATCTAAATTATACTAAACCACAGCTGCTATGAAAACGTCTTCAGTATAACTGTCTCTCTCATTTAGCAAGCATTTAAGCTCTGCCCTGAGCCCAATGCAGTGGCCTCCCAAAGGGAGTAACAATTTTTCTAAAGCTAAACACACAGTCCTAGGAATGCAAGAATTCCGTTGCATCTTGCTGGGTAAATCACACACCAAATCCTAGTGCTTTCAGATTCACATGTACCTATCTTGATTACCTTGCATTGGCTCTGTCTCAGAACTAACACACTTAGTGTTATTAGTCTAAATACTAAGGGGAAAAGAAGAAACTAACGCTTATTAAGCATTTCGCATGTTCTCATTTCACTTTCACAACCCTGTAAGATAGGTAAACATTATCCCCAATTTATACATTAAGAAAATGATGTTAAATTATTTGCCCACACCACCAGTAAAGAGAAGCTAGGACTCTGAATTCCACTTTGTTCACTATTCAAGGGCTCCTCCCCACCCCAAAAAAAGGGCTCTTCTCCCCTCCAAAAAAATCAATCATGGGGTGCCACTGGAGAGTTGACCACTCACATTAATTACTTGTTATTCTAGTTCAGCAGTTCTGGGAGCGAGTTATGGAGAAGATAAACCACCAATTCCTCATTTCACAGAATCAATTCAGTACTCAGGGAATACTCTAAGGGGTAAAATGTCCTTAGAGGTGAATCCTAGCTCTTCGCATCATTTCCCAATTCCTTCTCAATAGAGACTCTAGGACCAGAGCTCCCGTTATCACTTCCATCCTAGCATAGCTAACTGTTTCACAAAGTTTCCTTTTAAAACAAGACTTTCTACCAGAATAGAAGACCTCTCTGCTGGTCCTCAAATTTAAATAAATTTCATTTTCACACGATAACCTGCCTAATAGCATTCCAAAACACTCGTTACCACCGCAGTTTCAAGTTATTTGGTAGTGAACTGTGAACTAAATCTTGACTAAATTGCAGTAAAGATGGGAAACAAAAATCTGTTTAGACAGATTTCCTATCTAAAATTTTCCATTACGAGCTTAGGAAAAACAAAACCTGTACACTCAACATTTTAAATCTGTTTCTAACTGAACAAGATGATAGGTGATGCAATGAGGCTTAACTCTATCATGTAATTGACACAAAAAACTAAAATTGTAAAACATTCAATACTTTAAATTACTGAACATTCTTTTTAAAGAAGTAGAATACTGTAAGAGTTATTTAGCTTCTGGAGTTTAACACTTATAACAGATAAAAAAAGGTTTCTAAGAGGAATAGGGTCTCAACTGAAAACAGGTTTAAAAAAAAAAAAACCCATGTCTATAAAACACCTAAACATTGATACATGTCCAAAAACATTTCCCATTGTAAAGTATTATTTCTAATACTAACGGCAAAACAAAACAGATCAAATGTCCAAATTTTTGAACTGAGAAAATGATGTCAACGTTTTTCATCCGTTTAAGGTTCCAGACCAAAAATAAACAGCCACCGGGTTCATCAATTCAGGTGCGGAAACTCATTAAAATTGAGCTTCTGGAGCGAAAAAAACATATTACCAGAATTTGGCTTCTCGGGTAAAATTGCCCCGTGGCCCACACCAGAAACCTCGGGCAACTGCTCGGGCCTTGCCCACCCCTCCCGCGGGCCGCACCTGCCAAGACCGCACCGCCAGCGCCCCCTGCCGCCCTCTCTGCATAGAGACCCGCGCCCACCCCCGCACCCGCACCCGCACCCGCCCCCACCCCGCGCTAGCCCGGCGCCGAGGCCGCGCAGCCTGCGGGCAGGGGCGGGGGCGAGAGGATGCGAATCCAGGCGGGGCCGGGAGCTGGGCGCGTCCCTCAGAACCCCAGTCAAGGCCAGGCCGGAGCCTCACCTACCTACGCCGTATTTCTCCTCCTCCGTGGGGGTCCACATGACCGTGCCGGGCGCGGCCCCGCGGGCGCGGCAACCGGGCGACAACGCGGCGGGGACGGCCGCGGGCCCGGCTGTGGCGCACCGCGAGTCGAGGCGGGGACGGTCAGGCGGCGCGGGGCAGTGGGCGGCGCATCCCTCACAGGCCGTCCGGGATGCCGCCGCCGCCACCCCCTCCACGTCTGGACCGCGAGGCTCCGCGGGTGGCCCAGCAGCCCCTGGCGGCGCGGGCGAAGGCTCGCCACCTGTCCTTCGCCGCTGCTCCCGTGCCGCCGCTTGCTTCCTCACAGCTCCGCCGCCGGGCTCCCGGCGCCGCCGCGGCTCGGCTCGCCCCAGCGGGCTCGCAGGACGCCCGCGCATGCGCCACTCCCTGCCGCGCAGGGGCTCGCGCTGCCCGGGCTCGCGCCGTCCCGAGCCCGCGCGCGAATCCACGCGCCGCTGCTGCGCGCCAGCGGAGGGAAATCCGCGAGAAGCGATTGGACTGCCCGGCCCGGGACTGGCTTTTTCGCTGGTCTGGGGCCCTCAGCTGCAGCAAACTCCGGAGGGGGCGAGGCCGGTCAGGTGGGCGACTCCCTCTACCCAGACTCCAGACTCGCTTCCGCTTCCAGTGCCTCCTGCCTGCGCCCGGAGATGGCCAAAGGCCTCCTGCTCGGAGAGGGGAGATCTGGAAAAGGAGGAGACGACACCATTTTCAGACCCATCCCAGTGTCACCCACAGTGCTGTCGGAAAGGTCCCCGGAGCCACCCTGTGCATTCCCAGGGTCCGCAGGGTGGAGTCGCCACGAGGGAACTAGGTGGGGTGCACTCGTGGCCGTCTCTCCTGGATACCCTCTGGGCTGAGGCCGCTGACACCTAGGTTCTTGCTTCTCTAAGTTGGCCTGAGTGGTGAATGTTTGGGGCCAGAACAATCACAGCTGCCTTGCTAGTAAAGAAGCACTTCATTGGGCCCTTCAGGTTCCTACCCAGGACACGGCCTCTGCTGCTCCTGGGTGTCTGCCTCCCTTGGGGCCCTAAGTACAGGCTCCTACAGGAAACTCCTCCTCTCTCTCCTCCCTAAGAATCCATTCATTCTGATGCCTGTAAATGTCACCTTGTGACCCCCAAGTCAACCACTTACCAAAGACCATGAACTGCAGAACTTCTCCTTTACAACTACATTTGGACCACATGCCCTAATCCCAGCAGATTTGCCCATCTCTGTCACTAGCACTACTAAGTCAAAACCCTAGTGTCATCCTTCTCTAGCGCTCTCAGACACCCCCACAACCTTCAAAGTCCAGCTCAGCCCCTCACTCTAAGAAGCCTGCCCTGACCCATAGGCTCCTTTCCTTCTTTGTCTGGAATTGGAGCTATGTTCAATTTGTCTTATTTCCCTTATAAGACTGTCAGCTCCCAGAAGGCAAGCTCCAGGCTAAAATCATCTTTCTAACCCCTCACCACCAACCCAGCACCTGGTGTATAGTTGTTGCATGGGAAGCCAGACTAGTACAAGAATATCTTGTAATCTACAGATCTTGATTCTTCCTTCAAAGTGTCATTATTGGTAACTCCTCCCAGGCCTGACTGTGCTCTCCTGGGTTATGGCCACCCCTTTCCACCTTCCGATCTTTAGGCTCCTCTCCTCACTAATCATAGCTGCCCACTCCTGCCCAGAAAATGTCTGTTCTGTGAATGATAGAATTTCTCAATAGCCAGATACACTTCTATTTAGGGGTAGCAGGGATGTCCAACAACATAACGAAAGAGCTAACTGTCCGAGAAGACAGACCCCTCCCCAGTGGCCACCATGGAAGTATACTATGGAATGAAGCCACATTCTTACAGAACTCTCCAGGGAGCTAGTCAACAAGTGGGGCTGAGCTACGCAGGCCTTCGGGGAACAACCTTAAAGCTCTTATTTCATCCTCTAAGTTCACTCCCTTGTCTGCTGTATGTGATGACAGTCACAGAGCCTAGGGCCAGTTTTTCCAAAGTTTATACTCTTGTTCCCAGTCTGAATCCATCTTAGATTATGGCTTTCCCAGATGAAGAAAATTCTCCATGATTGCACACCTCAGCTCCAGGGTGGAAGGGCATTAAACCCAACCAGGGAAGGGAAAAGAAGGGACCAAAGTGAGAAGGAAGGGACTTAGTAAGCCTGGACTCCTACACTCTTGCTATTTGTATAAATTTAGATTGCGTGAGTTCAAGCAAAAGGGCATAGCACACATTGGCCTTCAGCAGGACCGTGCACCTGCTCTCTTATCCCCCTAGCATCTGCTCTGATCCTTTCCTTCCTCAGGCTCCCAGTCCACTCAACACACCACACACACACACTCTCCCAGCATATGAGCTACCTTCCAGCTTGCCTCTGAAAATCAAGACCCTCAGCATAGTAACCTTCCCTCCTCTCCAATCGCTCTGCTTTGTGTTCTCGCCACCACCAGGCTCACTACCTACTGCTTCTCAGGATCCTCAACTATCATTGCCCCGTCTCCCATTTTCACCCTGACCTGCTTCATAGACTCCTTCTGCAGTCCTAGGAAGACCTGCCCTGTTGGTACCCTCATCCCCCCATTTCCTCTCTCTTCCTCCTCTCTCCATCTGACTACAAAGGAGAATCATCCACTCCAAATCCTTTTATTTCAATGTAATTCATTTGATTCTCAGCACCTGAAGGTCTGCATTCTGACACTATCACCTCCTGGAAACTACTTTCCCAGAATTTCCCAGGGCCATCCCAACTTCAGACCATTGCCTGGTTCTGGCTGGGCTTTTGCATACAGTTTCCCTCAACTCGTGTCCTCTAGTCTTGAAACCCACACATCTGCATCATCCTCCAAGAGCTGTCTCAGGGCCACTTTCCTGAGGAAGACTTCCCCAACTGCCATTAGTTCAGCTGGATTTTTCACACCCATTATGTCCTTTCCTGTAGCACTTACTCATTCCACCCTTCTCCAAGAAATCAAATGGGTCTGCTTCTCACATTGGCAAACATCTGTTTTCTTCTTCAGTGACAAGGATTGTTCTTCAATTATTTTTACCTTACACAGAGACTAACATAGTGCCTACCACCTAACATGAATTTAACATACAGTCTTGGGTGAATGATCTCCCTGTATGTTTTCTGAGACCATAATGAAATAGGTTGGAAGAGAGAACTGAGATATTTACCTCAGCAAGTCACAAATCTGCAAACTCAGAAACTCTAATTAATTAAATTTCTTTGTTATAGACATATTGGTTTTAATTAAAAATTCATTGCAATGTCTTATTGAGTAGCTATATAAAAGATAAATATGATAGAGCAATTTATCTAAGAAACAAAGTATGCAAACAGTTTGACTTATGTCACTGTTACTTTTAGGTTTAACTCATTACCTTAGATGATAAATTGCAACTCGATGAGCAAGAAAGGAATCAAGTTTTCTACAGGAAATTCGTCAAGACTGGTGGCTGTTAAAAACAGCCTATAACCGCCGGGCGCGGTGGCTCACGCCTGTAATCCCAGCACTTTGGGAGGCCGAGGCGGGCGAATCATGAGATCAGGAGATCGAGACCATCCTGGCTAACACGGTGAAACCCCATCTCTACTAAAAATGCAAAAAATTAGCCGGGCATGGCGGTGGGTGCCTGTAGTCCCAGCTACTCGGGAGACTGAGGCAGGAGAATGGTGTGAACCTGGGAGGCGGAGCTTGCAGTGAGCCGAGATTGCGCCACTGCACTCCAACCTGGGTGACAGAGCGAGACTCCGTCTCAAAAAAATAAAATAAAATTTAAAAAAGCCTATAACCAAACAAATTTTATAAATGATTTACAAGAAATGCAGACAGCATCATCTTTTTCTCTTAGAGTTTAAGTTGATCAATAATTTTTTATCACGAGCGAACTCCATAACGGTAAATCCCCCATCACCTTTGGTGAATGATACTGGCCCTTTGCAAAGCTCGATGAGATACACTTCTAATCTTCTCTCCTTGTTTTCTGCTGCCTGGAGAATCACACAGCAGCACTTAAGGAGCCAGCCAGTCTGATGACTCAGCTCATAAAACAATGTGTGGCCACAAAGATGATGTTTATCCATGAGCATTCTGGAGGCTCTTGCTACTGAAGTCGGCAAGCAGTGGGTAAGTGGCACACGATGCTCATTCTCAAGAGTTCTGGCAACGGTGCCACCACAGCACTCACTTCCCTCTCTCAGCAGTTGATTTCATCTGATGCTCTGTCCAAGCAGAATGGTAGAAAAAAACTTCGGAGAAATGCAATGGGTATAGAGGCAAATCCAAACAAAGTGCAGGTGATAGTGGTGACATTCTGCCTTCTCTTGATCAGGAAGTGCCAGCAGCTGGAGCTTATACCCATATGAACCCCAGGGTCAGGTAAATGGAAGGCTCAAGAACACATTACCCAACTTACTTCTGCCCTTCTGGGTTCCTCAAGGAGTGGGTCTGCTGTGATTGTAAAACATCTGCAGAGCTAATTTTCTTCGTGGCAGAGAGACGCGCAAGCTAGTGCCACTTCACCACCACCCCTTATTTATCCCAAAGCAACACCTTTTAGGAAGCCTCCTTTCAGGAGGCAACTTTAGAATAAGGGGCTAATTCAAAGTAAGTTAACACAAATGGACACAGTGGCTCACGCCTGTAATCCCAGCAGTTTGGGAGGCTGAGGCAGGCAGATGACTTGGAGCCAGAAGCTCAAGACCAGCCTGGTCAACATGGTGAAACCCCATCTCTACTAAAAATACAAAAATTAGTCAGTCATGGTGGTATGCACCTGGAGTCCCAGCTAATTAGGAGGCTGAGACAGGAAAATCACTTGAACCTGGGAAGCAGAGGTTGCAGTGAGCCGAGATTTTGCTCCACTGCACTCCAGCCTGGGTGGAGTCTGAAAAAAAAAAAAAAAAAGATGAAGTTAACACAGAGATGGCTGACACAGTTAGAGCCCCTTCAGGTGAAGAGACCTAAATTGTCTAAGAAGATATTAGTGTTTTGCTTTAAGTTTTGTTGCATCTGAATGTATTTTCAGTAGGGAGGGGATAGGGAAGAGTGTGACAGGAAGACGGATTAAGCAGTGCAATATTTCATTATTTTCCCTAAAATGACACACTTTAACCATCTGTTCCTATTTTATCAACCCATTCAAAATATTATTAAAATGTGGATTTCTTTCAGTTAGCCAAGGTCTTCAAATGAGAAATGGTCAAATCTCCCCTGTTTGTAATTCCTGGAGACTGATACGGCACTTCTGGATGGGGTCTAATGAACAAGCCCCACCATGAGAAGCACCCCCAGATGTGTCCAGATGTGTCAGAGAATTCTCAGCACTTGCGTCCTGCCCACTCAAGACTGTGAGCTACCTGGAGACAGCACCATGCTATA